TTATGTTGAATATTCAATTCTTTCCTCAATGCAATTCTTGAATTAGCTATTCAATTGAATTAAACATAGAGATCTTACATGAATGGAAGTTAAGTGAACATCTCGTATCTGAATTGAATCTCTTGTGGTCTATTGATTTCTCATTCTTAATGCAATATTTGATTGATTTACATATCAAGAATTAGAGTAATTGATTAGATATTAGGATCATTGAGTCAATGAATTGAACTTTAATTAACTTAGTGAAATTGATAATCAATCAATTAAGGTACTTAAGAAGTTAGATAGCAATCAGTTTTGCAATTAACGAATAGATGAAACTAATCCTAACTTCATTTGTATAGTAACTTCCTTTGGAAACCTTCACTCTGATTTCTATTTCACTTCTACTTTATTGCACTTTTATGTTCTTGTCTCAAACATTCAAACCTTATCAAAAAAATTTATTAGCTCAAATAATTTTTAATCTTGCGAATTGGTAATTAATTGTATCAATCCTTGCGAATGATACTCAAAACTCACAATTCTGTATTTTATTACTTGCTACAACTACTTAGTACACTTGCTAAATATATTTTCAAAGTGAACAATAATGCTAACCAAATGATTATATTTACAAGTTTTATTATGTTAACTATATTTGTTATGAATAATCCTCATGTTGCATACAAGGCCTAACAAGAGTTGAGGTTCCTTTTCTCCTTTATTACATAGCAACCTATTTGGTACTTGATCACTGTTCTCTTAATGGATTAGATGATTGAGAACAAAGGGGCAAGTGGGGATGAAAAATTATATGTATACTATGTCTGCTTGGACTTATCTTCATACATTCTTTTTTTTTTTTTTCGGATTCTATTATATTTGAATAAATAAGAAACTTAGAAGGTTTGTAATATATGTTATCATGCATTATAGATATGACACCTATAAGATATTGATATGTATAATATAAGTATAGCATGTTAAATTAAATTTTTTTAAGTTAATAAATTTTACCCTTGGTGTTTGAGATGATAATTGAGATAAAACTATTAATGGTAATAGGGATGTCTCATTATAAACCATGTATTTCAAATCTACAATTTTCTCTAGAAATTTAACTATTAATATCAATTTTCAATGGAAACACTAACTTTCATAGTCTTCAAGAGAAATTTTAAATTAATGATACATAAATATTCTAGATTTTGAATACTATTTTCATAATAAAAAAAACAATATCATCATTTTTAAAATAAAATTCATTCTTCCAAAATACAATAACTTATCTTTATACAAACTTATTATCATATTAGGTAAATCAAATGTCACCCAATAATTAAAAAGATCATATGTATCTTCATATGATGATTCAATCTCTATAATCTTCACATAATTATCTTTTTTGCCATTTCTTCTTTAAATTTATCCTTCGTCGTAATCTTTATCATCAAATCCTTGCATGTAGCATAGGCTTGCTTTATCTCTTCCATTTGCACTATTTGGGATAAGTGTTAAAAAAGTTTTTGTTAGAATTCAATTCCTTACTTATTTAAAATGTTAGGATTTAGTTTCTCCTATTAATTTTCGTTTATTAAGTGATGAGTTGGATAACAAAGATTCAACTCCTCATTGTTACATCAATCATTTAATTTTTTTAATATTATTTAAAATATAACTTTGCAAAAAAGTTTATTTTTTTTGTTGTGTCTCTTATTTTACTTTCTTTTTCTCCTTTCTCACATGGTTCTTTCAGACTTTTTTGTCTACTTGCTTTAAAGGGAGGTTGGGCATAATTAATTAATAATTAACATTAACTTGAATTGCAGAAGTGAACATTGGAGGAGAAGAAGAGGAATGTGGCTAAAATAATATAAATATTTTTTAGAAACTTTTATATTGATATTAATTTTTATATAATAAAATATTAAAAATAATTAAAAAGAATGTCGCCAAAAATGTTTAGGATTTTTTGAATAAGTATTATATTTAAAATAATATAAATATTTTAATTTTTAAATATTAATTTGTATATAATAAAATATTAACAATAATTAAATAATGTAAGACAATGATAAGTTTGATCTTATTATCTAGTTCAATACTTAATAGGGAGGAGAAGTTGATATAGCATCTTTACTTTATTATTTAATTTATGTAATATTTTATAACAAATAAAAGAAAATAAAGTGAACTTCTTTATACTTATAGTGTGAAAATTTGACAAGAATTAAAGCTTACATTTATATTATTCAATTTATGTAAATGCAAAAATATTCAAAATGATATACGATAAACATTCACCATTACATTATAACTTACTAAATAAAAATTTACACTTGAATAGTAAAAAATATATACATATATTGAATTTTCATTCTGATACAAAAGTTTGATATTTACAAATCATAATCCCAAAAATATATTAAGACTTCATTTATATAATTACAAAATCAAAATGATTTAAGTTCTAATGAGCAATCTATCTTCATACTAATAACACGGAAGGTATGACTATAGTCATTATCCTCAAACCAACCATTTATTTCTTTCAGCTCTTTCGATGTCAGATTTTAATTCATCATAGAAATCTCTAGCATCTATAACAACCTTCGTACTAGTCATCTGCTCTCTAGTAAATGTAACTAGTCTTCCCATATGATCGTGGTCATGGAAGGTGTAAACATAGTTTACAATTGTTGGTGTTCGAACTGTCCTTCTCTATATAAGCTGAGGGTGTGGTGGATCTTACTACTAATAAGATATGAAAAAGGAACATTGTACCTTATTGTCATCTCTAAGGTAAAAACATCTTTAGATCCATTTTCATTATCTATTACAAATTTACAATGGTAAACCTATTGTCATTTCCTAAATACATAATTTAACTACTTTTTACTGTCCAGTCTGTCAGTCTATAGTCTATGTGAAGTGGTTATCTTTGTTTCCTGAAAATATTAGTAAGGATGTGTTCTATTCTCACCACTAAAACATAATCAACATACAATTTGAATTTCCACAATATCAAATACAATACAACATACATTAATAACACCATAAACTCATGTACATTAATAACTCATGTACGTCAATTATATGCACTGTGATCATAGTCAAACGTTGCCTTTTGCATTGCATGAGGTCTTACACATGTAAGTGAATAGTTGCTAGTTAGCTCATATATACAAATACAACGCATATAGTAATAGGTCCTTTAGCAAAAGTATAATCAAGAGTCTATTCAAGAAATGAGTGTGCTTTCACTTTCATTAGTTTATTTATAACCACTATGAATAACATTCACTACCCTCAATTCTCCCATATTTTAAAAATCGTCTTCTAACTCTATACTCTCAATGTATCTTTGTAATTATTCACATTCATTTTCCTTTCATCAACTTTCACTAATAATACACTTTCCTCTATTCATTTCTCATCACTTAGTTAAACAAATAGTGCCTAAGGTATGGCACTTTCGGACTTAGTCCAAATCATGTACTCTTAATAAAATATACTTTAGTCATACAAGGAACAATAAAAAAATATGCATCATAAAGTTCATTCACTTTCACAAACAACAAGAAATCTAGTTTAAACATATATTTATGAAATAAGAAGCACACTATCACACTTTCATAATCACAAAATACATACAATGTTTTAAGATGGAACAAAATTCTTCTTACCTTGATGAGATGATTTGTGAAGAGTTTTGTGGAAGATATCGTTCAAAGGACCAAGTTCTTCCTATTTATTATAAGGTAGAACACTTTTAAGAAAGAAGAAAATAAAGAATAGAAGTAAGGTTTGAAGATTGAGCTCCAAGGAACTTACTTAAAATCGAGTAGAATATATGTTCGAGCTCGAATTTAAAGATAGTTCAGAGTTCAAGAGAGTTTTCTCTAGAAAAAAGAAGAGAAAGTTTTGAAATAGGGAGATTCCTTAAATACACATTTTGCCCATAACTTCTCGCCTAGGCGAGGACTCTAGCTTGAGCAAGATACATTCTTGTCTGGACGAGAATACCAAATAGAAATTTTTACACAGGTTTCTGATAATCTCATCTGGGCAAGATGCTTTCTCGCTTGAGTGAGATCTCATCCAGAGAACTCCGCATTTTCCCTCTGCCTTATAGCCTAAACGAGAGGATAATTGAGACAATATTATCTATTCTTGTATGGACGAGAGTTATCTCACACTGAATGAAAATACTCTAGAGCAAGTGGTCTAGAAAATCTAGTTTCACTTAAGTGAGATCTCCTACAATTTTCAAAATTTTAAAATTTTCTTTCAAAAATGTCCTACAGTTGACGAGTAGGAAAATAATTTAAATAAATTAGGTATTGAATTTTAATAAAACTTTTTTAAAAAAACTTATCATAAATGATACTATTTTATTGGAAGTAAAAATATAATTAAACTTCACTGGTAAATTTCTTATAAATTGTGTATATATTATTAAATTAAAATTTATTTAAATAAATTTTAAAATATATTTAATAATTATTTTTAAACTTTTTAATTTTAAATAATAAATTTAATTTATATTTAATAATTTTTACTATTTCAATAAATAAAATGAAATTAAAGAGATATAAATTTTAAAATTATATTTTAAAAGTGCATTGTATATAAAATTTAAATTAAGATCAAAGTAAAAAAAAAAGAAATAAGCATTATTTAATATATACTTTAAGAGTGCATTGTATATTTTTAAAAAATTAATATTTATAATTCCTTTAATATTTTAAAAATTAAAAAATATTTATATTATTTTTAAAGGAACTGTTAATTCTACTACTTATTAATTTAAAATTAATAATAATAATTGTTTCATGATATATCTGAGAAAGTAAAAATTATCTATTCAAAAACATTCTTACTTAGAATAATTTTTGAAATATTAAAAATTAAAAGTATAAATAAAAATTAAAAATCTAATTGACAGGTTGCAAATGCAATTCCCCTCTTCCCGGACAGGTTTAATATATAATTGTAGTTATATATTCGACAACCCGACCCAAAATGTAGATTTTTGTCTGAGCAGACCCTTCCTTGGTGTCTCGTTTTTGTTTTGAGTTTTGTTTTTCCCCCTATTATCTCTGTTAAACTAATATTATTAGTGTGCAACAAGTGTATTGTTTCTCTCTTCATTGTGCAATGGATTTGATGTTTCCACTGAAACCCCAGAGGGTTATTCTGAAGGCACCCTCTTCATCTCTCTTCTTTCCTCTTCCTCTGAGGTTTCACTCTTTTCGCCCCCTCTCCGCTTTCAAGAATGCCAATATTCAATGCGAGCTTGAAAACAAACTCAATGGTTCTCTTTCGGGAGACTTTGACCCTCGCTTCCTCGACAGGGTATGCCACCGCTTCTTTTGCTTTTCTGGGTTTTGATTTCACAAAGGTGTCACTTTTCTTTTGAAGTGAATTTTTCATTTGTACGCTTGTTGACACTTTGTCTTCTGCTAAAGTTATGATTAATGCTGCTTTTGTTTTTATTTATTTCCTCAAAGAAAGAAGAAAAAAATTGTTCCTATGTATTAAAATATTAAGATAGTATTAGTTACTATTCTTTTATTGATATCATTTTGTCTATATAAAATATTTATATCGAGTCAAGAATCAAAAGAAGACTCGCTGATACAAAGTAAAATTAGTAAATTGAATAATTAGTTAATACAAAATGATTGGATTCCTTAGTCGTGGAATTTTATTTTGGGCAGATAAATAAGAACAAGGGTAATATCTCTTTGGGAAAATATAACTTTATATGTGGTAATGTTGCTTTAGTTAACTCTATATTGACATTGAACTAACAAAAATATAGGTTTTGATTTTGAAGGAAATTTCACAAAACTTTGAGAGCATGCTTGAATTTGTTTGGTTATTGATGGCTTTATATATACAGTTCTTAAAATTGCTGACTTGGCATGGCAATGTGGGTGTAGTAAGGAACTGTGGAAAACAATCAGTAAAAAGTGTTGTGACAAAGTTTTATTTGAATTTGGAGATGGAATTAACATTGACAGCTTAAGAAAGGCATGGTTTTATATACTGGTTTCGTGTGTTCCTTTTATTGTGAAGATAAGGGGAGAAGAGTATGCATCTGGAAATTCTCATATCCTTGCAGAAAATATTCCGACTTGTGAAATGTGTAGTGCATTTTATGATTCGTAATATAGTTCTTAAATCAGCCACATATACTAGGATCTCAAGTGGACAGACAAAAAAAGCCCTAATACACTTTTTAACCTTTTTTACAGCCCCATAATAAAAGAGTGAATTCTATAATGTCTAGAAGGATTTTCAGCTATAAATTCATGCTTATCAAGAATTGTTGGTAAAGAGATCTGGTACTCAAAGAATGATGTGGAACTATATGTGCACAATGTTTGTATGATATTTTATCAGTTCTATGTATGTATGTTATCATGTATTCTATCTATCTTCTGGATAGTTAGAATGATATTCAAAATTTCACCATATCATCTTTTCTTTCTTCCCCTGATTATTAATATTCATGGAATATAGTGTTTTATTTATTAGCCTATTAGGCTCATTTAACATGCCAACTATTTTGATGAATATATAATGTCTGCCACATGGTGCATAAATCAGTAGTTTACTAGTAAGGTTTCACATGAGTAATACATTATTGTTATGATATGTTGCTAACTAAAAGTGTTTTCAATCTGACAATGAAATTTTCATTCTAGCAAAAAGCATTGGAAGCAGCGATGAATGATATAAACAACTCTTTTGGAAAGGGTAGTGTTACAAGATTGGGCAGTGCTGGTGGAGCTTTGGTGTATGTATCTTCATATTCTCTGTCATCTGTCTGACTAATGTTCCTCACCCATGTGTATTAAACTTTTGAAAAACATCAATTTGTGCTCTGTCACTATTTTCTGTGATTTAGATCAGATGACATATACAGTTTTTCTTATCATCTTGAATGTTGCAGTGAAACTTTCCCAAGTGGGTGTTTGACATTGGACTGTGCTTTAGGTGGTGGTCTTCCTAAAGGAAGAATTGTAGAGGTATTTTCTGTGTACTTCATGTTGTCGTTCATTTCTTTTTGTGTCTGCAAGATATAAAATGCTGGAATGCATTTGACCATTTGTTATGAAGTCTATAAGCATTTTTCTCTTGTTGAACGTCTCACATCGACTATAGATATAATTAAATAAGAGATTATAAAGGCTAAAATAATTCTCACCTTACGAGCTTTTGGAGTTGAGTTAGCTTAAAACTCAAATTCAAAAGCTATAAATGATTATAATCTATTCTTCATTGCATAATGAATTAGCCAAAAGTTTTTCTTTATTAGGAGTTCTAACCTTGGATGGGAAATATTATCCCATCCCCAATATCCATCCCTTAGGTACCTTAGTTTGGAGGCTTAAACTTGAATTTTGGATCAAAACTGCTACTAGAATACAATTTCTCCCTCCCCGGTCTACTTGTCCCTGATTTTCATTTCTATTTCTCTCCATTTATATGTTTATCTTTGTTGAGAAAATAGAATGAGAAGCATAGAATGTATCCGTGTGTTGACTACACAATGGGGCATATATTTATAATAGGGATTATTGACATAGAATATATAGTTATGGAGTTATTGTAATTACAAAGATACTAATTTCACTATTTACAGCATTACTATAATAATTTCGACACTTCCCCTCAAGCATGGACATATAAATCATATGCATCAAGTTTGTTACGTATATAACTAATTTGATGACCTTTTAAAGACTTAGTATAGACATTTGTCAGTTAATCATGAGAATTCACAAAGTTAGTAGTGATATCTCTAGATGAAATATTCTCTCTAATGAAGTGACAGTCTATCTCAATATGTTTAGTCCTCTTATGGAAAATTGGATTTGATGCAATATGTAATGTTGTTTGATTATTACAAACAAGTGTCACTTATCTAACTTCCCCAAATCTCAATTCTTTGACTAATTGTTTAAGTCAAATAAGTTCACAAGTGGCTAAAACCATGGCTCGATATTTTGCTTTTGCACTAGACCTTCCAACTACACTTTGCTTCTTGCTTTTCCAGGAAACTAGATTTCAACCAATAAAGATGCAATAGCAAGATGTAGACCTCCTATCACTAGGTGATCCTACCCAATTTGCATTTGAATATCCCATAACTTAAGTATGTTCTTTGTCTTCATATAAGAGACCTTTTCTTGGAGCTCCTTTAATATATTTCAGAATGCAGATTATTGCATCCCAATGTTCATCACTAGAGTTAAGGAATTGACTCACCACACTGGCAACAAAAGAGATGTCTGGGTGAGTAACTGTTAGATAATTTAATTTTCCAACAAGTCTTCTATACCTTTCTGGATCTGAAAGTGACTCTCCCTAACTTGGCAAAAGTTTGGTATTAGGATCTATAGGAGTATCAATAGGTTTGACCCCATCACTCTTGTTTCCTCTAGGATATTCATTGCATACTTCCTTGGGGAAATCACAACACTACTCTTGGTTTGTGCCACCTCAATCCCCAAAAAGTATCGAAGTCTAGCTAGATCTTTTGTTTGAAAGTACTGACAAAGGCATTGCCTTACCTATTCAATGTCATGGTGATCACTTCCTGTAATGACAATGTCATCTACATATACAGTTAAGTAAATACAAAATGAGGTTGAATGACAATAAAAAGCAGAGTAATCTGCTTCACTTCGAGTCATGCCAAACTGCTGACCTAACATGCTAAATCTGCTAACCCATGTCCTTGGAGATTGTTTGAGACCATAAAATAATCTCTGAAAACAACTCCTGAAGTCTCCCCTTGAGCAACAAATCCAGAAGGTTGCTCCATAGACTTCTTCAAGATCATCATGAAGGAAAACATTTTTTATGTCAAGCTTTAAAAGAGGCCAGTGACAGATAGCAGGCATACATATGAGGAGTTAGACATATGTCATTTTGGTGACAAGAGAGAAAGTGTCACTGTAGTCCAAATCAAATATCTGTGTATAACCTTTGGCTACCAAACAAGCCTTAAGGCGATCAATTTTACCATCAAGACTAGTGTTGTTAAATGGCGGCCATGGCGGCGGCGCCATGGTGGAATTCGGTGGCGGTTTTTAACCCTGCCGTTACAGTGTTACCATTTTATGGCGTTTTTCAATGGCAGCGCCATGGTGGTCGTTACATCCATGGCGGTAACGGCGGCCATGGCGGAAAATGTAGAAAAATGGCATTTTGTGGGAAAAATTGAGTTGGGCCACTGATTGGACCTGCTCCAAAACGAAAATCTGTGAGCCCAAACCCTAAATCACATATTTTCTTCCTTTCTTCATGGCTGCTGTGCCGTTGTGGAGCGGCGGTCCGCCATGTGATGCTTGCTGTAAAGTATTTCTTCGTAGAGGTTAAGCCCTAATTGTAGTGTCATGGTGTGGGTGTGCACTTTTGAAGTGTAATGGAGAAAGAGAGCAAAATTCCAATCTTGCCCTTGCTTTATGTATTTTAGGGTTTTTTAAGGGCAAAATAGACTTTTTTCACTTAAAATTTTTACATTCTCTTCTCAAGCAGTAAATTTTCTGAAGGGTAAAATATTTAGGGTTCTCTGCACTTTTTTTCTTCCTTCTTCTCTAAAGCTAACTTCTCCATCTCCTTCATCATTTTCGCTGGAGAAGACATCCTTTCCGGCTGTTTTCTGGCAACTGTGAGTGGAAGGCCCTATTTTCCGACGTCCGTTTTCCATTTTACTTCTCTGAGCTTTGTCCCTCTCTCTTAGTTTTTCCCTCTTCTTTTTTTTTTTCAGTTCTTATTTTCCCCCTCCCATTCTGTTTTACTCCCCCATTTTTTTTCGTTTTTTCTTATTATTTTGTTTTCTTGATTCTATTTTTCTGTTTTCACTTCCAAGTTTCCTTCTCCATATTTATTTTAATTCTCTACTTTTCTGTTGTTATAACTTCAGCTTTTTTTCACTATTGTACAACCATTTTATTCTTTTTTTCTCAAAACCTTCCTTCTTTTATATGTACTTAGTTTTCTAGTTTTATATCACATTTTGCAATATATATATATATATATATGATCACCATTATTCTGCCATAACTTTATGGCAGTTTTTTTGCTTTCCGCCATGACCCACCTACAATCAACAAGAGACTTCCTTGGAAGAAGAGGAACAAGATCCCAAGTACCACTATTCTGAAGAGCACACATTTCATCAATCATTATTTGTTTCCAACCACAATGAGAGCGCATCACGTGTATACTAAGGAATAGAAATAGAGGACAGGGAAGACAAACAAGTATAATTGGAAGAGGACAAATGATGGTAAGTTAAAGAAACATAATGAGCAAAAGGATTATGACAAAGAGCAATGGAAAATTTATTCTCAGGAGACAAGCTTGGAGGAGAGAGGTTGAGTGGCATTAGAAGCAAGTTAGAGGTAGGATCAATAGACACTGGTGGTACAGAGAGGGGCTAGTGACAGTGATACACTTGTAAAAGATGCAAAGAAGGTGGTTCTATAGAAGCATGAGATGGTTGATGGAAGATAGTGGAAAGGAACAGAAGCTAGAGGAGAGGAAGAAGTAGACTCAGCCGCAAATAGGAGGACTGGTGTAAAGTAAGGAACAAACTGAAAGAAAGGGACATCAATTGAAATTAAATAACAACGAAGAGCGGGAGAGTAACACTTCTAACCTTTCTGAGACCTAGTGTAACCTCGAAAAACACATTTGTGAGAACGTGGTAAGAGTTTATCAAGGCCAGGACTAAAGGTCATGAACAACAGGCTGACCCAAAGACTCGAAGTGGTAACAAGTGACGGGTTTGGTAAGGGTATAAGATAGAGTGAGGGATTTGGTTTTGAAGAACCGTGGATGGCATTCTATTAATAAAATAACACGCAGTAAGAACATCATCTCAAAAGCGATTAGGATCCTGATTATGACACAATAGAGTACAAGCAATTTCAATAAAATGTCTATTTTTCCATTCAATAACCCCATTTTGTTGTGAAGTTTGAGGACAAGAGGTCTAATGAGGAATACCGTTTGAAGTCATAAAATTTTGAAATTGATTGGATAACTACTCATGAGCATTATCACTTTGTAAACTATAAATTGGAATACCAAATTGAGTTTTAATTTCAAAAAAGAAAGTTGTAAAAGTAGAAAATAACTCAGAAAGATCTTTCATTAAAAATAACCAAGTACATCTAGACTCTAGAGTAATCATCAATAAAGGTAACAAAATATTTTGATCCTAAAGTAGATACAATATGACTTGAATCCCACACATCAATGCGAACTAAAGAAAAGCGAGAAGTTGAACGACGATTGACACGACTAGTAAAAGAACTACAAGTATGTTTTCTTAATTGACACTACTCACATGACAAAGTAGATAAGTTAGAAAGACTTGGTACTAATTGTTTTAACTTGGTTAAATTGAGATTTCCTAACTGAGCATGAATGAGAAAAGGTGAATCAACTGCCAAATTAGCATGAGCAAAAGTATTTAACTGATAGAGGTCATGAGACTCACATCCGGTGCCAATCATCCTTCCCAAACTCTGGTTTTGTAGGAAAACAGGATTTTTAGTGAAAGAGATGATAGAGTGAGACGAACATGATCAATAGAGAGGGAGGGGAAAGGGTGGACAGTACCAATACCCTGAGATTGTGTTTGAGATCCATTAACCATTGTGACAGAGGATAAGTAATTAGATGTAGATATAGTGGAAAAAAATTATCTATTACCAGTGATGTGGTCAGTGGCCCCAAACTTAAGGACCCATGGGCCAAGGGAGGAAGAGTGAGAGACACCAACAATAGAGTTACCCGTGTGCACAACAGAAGCAATGGGACTAGAGGCTTGACGCTCCTCAAACCATTGAAGAAAGTCATTGTATGTGGGTGAAGGAGCAGATGCTTGTAGTACGGTCAAAGGTTCAGAGTCAAAAGGTGTGGATCATACAACATTTGCTACTCTTGGAGGGAGACCATGTAAGGCAAAACACTGGTCAATTGTGTGGCCTTCCTTGTGACGATGGTCACACTTAAAGAAAGAGCAAGATTTTCTTGGTTTGTGAGAATGAGCATGATCCTCTACCTTAGTGATCACTACCGTGTAAGAGTAAGGTAGAGGAGTCTAGCAAAGTAGAGGCAGGAGATATATTCATGGAAGTAGATGGAGGTTTAGCTAGTACCCGTAACAAGGTGGACCATGTAGAATTTATAGTGAGTCCAATAGGCGACCCCAAAATTTGATTGTGAATAACAAAATACTCTACAGGCAAACCATACAAAGCAAGTAGCATAAAAAGTTGTCGACGATTTTCACGATCCTTACTTATTGAGGTAGCAAGAGTCAAGACTTCATCAAGTCATGCAGAATGCTGGTCACTCTACCCAAATATTCAGTCATGAAGCCATCAAATCGTTGAGGAGCAAAAACATTCATGAGATTTTGACAAACCCCATAATGGCGCCGAGTGTCATTGGCATGCAAGTCTTTAGCCTGTGTCCAAACAGACTCACACATCTCATGAGGGTGAAAAATTTGCTTCAAAGAAGGGTGAATTGTGGATTTGATGACCCTACACAGCTGAGCAGCAATTTTACTCCATTTAGGTTGTTCAGCAGGATTCATGGAGTCCTCCTTAGTAGTGAGATGATCAACATAACCTTGACCCTTGAGCCAAAGTTTGATGTGGGAGGCCCATGTGGCATAATTACTTCCATCCAGCTTTTCCATGGAAAGAGGGGCAGCCACGTAGTTGTTGATTCGGAGGGGCAGAGGCAGCCATGGTGCAGTGTGAACAGTACCAGACAAGGCAAGAGATACAAAAAAAAAACAGGGACCCACAACTGGATCCAAAAATAAAGGGTAGTTTGGGGTACAGCAGGTTGAGGTGATGCCAATGAAACAAGCAGTGGCTGGAAACAGTGCTGGATGAGCTGCCATGTGCTGGCGGTGGTGCAGCAAGGAGAGAGAAAACATGGAAAAGAAGACATGTGTGAGGGTGTGTGAGACCTGCAGTTGGTGTGAAACTTAGGGGATAGGCTGAACGGAGCAGGGCGAACCAGATCCAAGGGTGGTGGTCGTTGAAATTTGCCGGAGAAGATGCCGGAATAGTATGCACAGAAATTGCCGAAAACTGAATGCGAAGGACAGTTTTCGTAAAAAAAATTTCACCACCAAGCAGTGGGCCCACTGGGGAATCGTGAATTAGGATTATCCTATGTTAGGCTTTGATACCCTGTTGAGAAAAGAGAATGAGAAACATAGGATGAATGTGTGTTGACTACACAGCAGAAAATATATTTATAATAGGGATTATTGACATAGAATATACAGTTACGGAGTTGCCGTAATTACAAAGATACTAATTTCTTTGTTTACAGTATTACTATAATTACATAATTCCAACAATCTTCACTGATTTTGCCTTTCTTTTTGTGGTTCCAACCTTTTTTTATGTCAGTTTGTATATTTGTGCTTCAGCTATATTGGAGTCTGTTAAAATAGTTTGTGGGACTTTTGATACTAACCTCAGGAGAAAATTGATATAAGCATTAAAATGCCCTAACTCTTCCAAGCTTTACTTTGCACTTTGTTGTAGAATTGTTGGTTCTTCTATGTTTTACCCCTCTTAACTTATTTGCTCTGTCATGGGCAAGTTGACACTATCTGCTATATCTATTTCCAGATATTTGGACCAGAAAGCAGTGGGAAGACTACCTTGGCTCTTCATGCTATTGCAGAAGTGCAGGTAATTCATCTATCTGGAGTTTTCCCAGTCATAAATTTCTGATCACAAAGATTGACTTAATCTAAACATGTTTTTTGGGATCAATGTGCACTTCTGTTGTGATCTGCAGAAATTAGGAGGCAATGCAATGCTTGTTGATGCGGAGCATGCATTTGATCCTGCATATTCTAAAGCATTAGGAGTGGATGTAGAAAATTTGATTGTGTGCCAACCTGATCATGGGGAGATGGCTCTTGAGAGTAATATATTTGCCTTTAATGTGGTTGGGTTGGAATGGATTAGATCATTTTATCAGTTTCCATATTGGATATTGCAATAGCAAGGTGCTGTTTGGTGTCTATGCATTGACTGAGCTTTCCATATTATAGTTGCAGACCGTATGTGTAGATCTGGTGCCATAGATCTCATTTGTGTGGACTCTGTCTCGGCTCTCACTCCACGAGCTGAAATTGAAGTAAACAATTACTTTGATTGATTTAGGTACTTTTGTTTTGTAATTTAAGTGATTGCATTTCTTTCTAACTAATTTTTTTCACATATTCATAGGGGGAAATTGGAATGCAGCAAATAGGATTGCAAGCTCGTCTTATGAGCCAAGCTTTGCGTAAGATGTCTGGAAACGCCTCTAAAGCTGGTTGTACACTTATATTTTTGAATCAAATAAGATATAAGGTACTTTTCAATTTGATTAGTCTAACTACTTTTTGGTAGACTGCATAACAAAAAGTGCTGTAAATTTCAACTGCTTACTTTTGAGTTTTAATCATATATGTGTTCTGTCAAATCTCTAGCTTTTGTTAAAGTTATTTATGTTTTTATTTACTTCTGTAGATTGGTGTCTATTATGGAAATCCAGAAGTGACTAGTGGTGGAATTGCATTGAAGTTCTTTGCGTCACTTCGGCTAGAAGTTCGTCCTATAGGGAAGATTAAGTCTGTAAGCACAATATCGCTGTCATATCATGCATAATGTTGTATATCATCTTAAACCTTGCTATTGTCCATTTGCCTGTCTACCTAAAAATATCAGCAGTTTTTACATGCAAAGAATTACTTGTTACTGATATAATCTTTTAACTATAGTGTCAAAATTGGTTGACATGAAGCACTACTACTCTGCATTTTCATTTTCTTTTAGGCAAAAGCAGATGAAGAAATTGGCCTTAAAGTACGCGTGAGAGTGCAAAAGAGCAAGGTAAATTGTAAACGACAATATTTATATATTTTGAAATTTTCCACTTCAAAAAAATTCTAATTTTTGTAATGCTGCTTAACATAATCACTTGAAACTTGACATTTATTAAACAATTTTGACTCTGTCCTGTCACTTATCTGTCTCTCTGTTTCTTGGTTGAATTTATTCTAGTTTTAATGTCATGCTCTATACTGAAAACTGGATAGCAGAGAGACAAATTTAACATATATGATGATATATTGATAATTTAAATTCCATTTCATCAAATCAATGTATGTGGCTAGAATTTCTACAATTATTTTGGTTTGAGAAAACTGGATAGCCACCTTTTTTTTTGGTTTCCTGTTTTCAAAGATTTCTATAGGAAGCAATAAAAACATCGAAAATGTTGTTTTCACTGTTTCATGAACAAGTTTTTAAATATAAGAAACAGTGAAAATAAAGTGACTTTTCTGTAATTATTTGTGAAAGTAAGAAATGAAAGCACAACGCAAACAAACCTTAACATTTAGGGAATTCACCCGATGTTTGGGCTCATGGACTCATTCAACTATAGTGAGAGTTTGTTACGTTATAGGCAAACTCAGAGCTAGCTCACAATATCAGAAGAACAATTTATGAGAGTTGTTCTTTAACATTTTACTTTAGCCTGTATGACCAAAAGGTTAAGAGTTTTCACATTTCATTCCAATTCTTCATTGTTAAAACACATTGGGTCACAACTCACAAGTTAAAATTAGTTTTCTGCCTTGCTCATGCTACAGGGCCCTTGAATGGGCACTGTGCTAGAGAAATAAAAATCAGCTATGTGCACAATTTAAACATTAGGGTTTGGTGTTAATACTGATAATGTTAGTTAATTTCAGAGAGGAAAAGATAAAACTGTATTCTATCTTCTATGTAATCTTGGATTGTTCTCTCTAATTTGAAATTTCGTAACAACTATTTTATGTTTGATTGGAACCATAGTAGTCAATCCAAGATAGCGGCACGGAGTGGTTGACCTATAGCGGGATAGCAGTAATTCTGAAGACAATCAAAACAAAAATGGAAAATAGATCAAAGAGTGGTCAATCATCAGAAAAATGCTCTAATGCAAATGGTCTAGCCAGAAAATGTTATACTATCATCAGAAGATGTCTACATCTTGTCGAAAATAGCTTGGGTTTCATTGGAGATGAAGAAGGCAACCGAAAAATGTCTTTGCTCATTTTAGAAATAAGTTGAGTTTCGCTGATGATGAAGAAGACGACCAAAACTTGGCCAAAAATAGTAACTTGCACCAAAGAGTGACGCCAGAGATGGAGGACGAAGCAAGAGAACGAGAGATGGAGGTAGGGTTTGATCTTGACTTGCGAAGATAGAGAAGCACAAAGCATTGCGATATAAAAGGGGGGCAAAATCCCAATATTTCCCCCCTTAAAAGGCATTCCAACTTTCATAAAGGGAGGGCTAACTTGCCCATTTGCCCTGTTTGACATAGTGGCCATGAGTGGCTGTGATTTTCCCTCTCATGGCCACAAATCGTGGCATGACAGCCACTACATTGAACCATGACGTGATGGCCCCAAAATCGCAGCAAGGATTCGCTTCTCTCCGCTCCTATGCGATCGTGCCCGCTATTGCTGTTATTGACTACTATGATTGGAACATGAGTGGTGACATCAAAAAATGTGTTGTCTTTCATTTGAGTATTGTTTTCTTTTCTTTGAAAAACATTCAAGAATGACTCTTATCCTTTCTAGGGCTACTTCGTTGACTTTGTCCTTTTTTTCTCTTCACTTGAGGCTTACTGTAAATCCATTCTTGACCTCCCTATTCTCAAGGTTGTTTGTAATTTAAGCACGAGCATTTTAATTGTACTGCATTCTTCAGGTGGACTAAACTGGTAATAAAATTCTTAAGGCTGTCTCCTGTGATGCATCTAACATTATTTGCTTTAGTTAGTGGGTGGAGAATTTTGCTGAACTGAAATTTCTCTTTGTTGGAATCGTTGAAATTATAGAGGATTTAAGAGGAGAGATACTAGATTTGTAATCATAATTAAATCAAATAAACAAACAAGTTTAAGCTTTTATGAAGGTGATTTAATTTATAGAGATTTATGAAAAGTGGAATCTATTCTTGGTTTGGTTTCAATTATAAAAAACACTATTTTAAAAGATAGTTATAATTTCAGCCTTTTTTGTCAAAAGCTGCTCAAAATACAAAATAATCAGAAATTTGATTGCTTTTCAAAAGCTTAAACGATTACACAAGATTTTTTTAAAGTGACTTTTGAAGAAAAGTTGATGTTAATTATTGTCTTATTGTTATATTTACCATATCCATATTTTAATAATTGTAATTAGCATGTGCTCTATTTGAGGGATTCAGTTACTGTATTTTATATTTCACTGATTCTCTTGTACCCTAGCTTGATTATAAATAATACCCTTGTGTTTACTCATTGACACTTATAGTTGTGGGATAAGGCTTGGTTGTTGTTGTCGTTATTGCGTGTACTCATTGACACACGACATCCACTCATACTCTACCTCTCTTTCTTATAATTGAAATGAATGAGCTCAAAATATGAAAATCATTCCTAAGAGATCAACTAAGATATTCTAATGATACCAACAAGATGTCATTAGGTGTTTTTTGGATGACCTAACACTCCCTCAAGCTAAAGCACACTAAAAGCTTGTTACAAATTATTAAACACACTAAATTGAAAAACTGTGTTTTGTGACAAGTGACAGTGTTTGAGTCTAGAGACAGGGCTAGACTCGAGTGTTTGGGATTGGAGATGGGGTAAGATTGCATTTGGGATAATAGGAGACAACTGATGAGGCCTGATTGTATCTGAGCCAAACTGCGTTTGAGATAACATATGTAAGTGATAGCGAATACAAGTTGAATCTTCACTAATGAAAAGAAAAGTCAATACATGATCATCCGTGGTTCACAGTCAGATTGATTGTCTGCAGGAAAGGGTACTATTTGATCATTCTCAATCTCACCCTTGATACCATGTTGAAAACACATCAATGGAGAGAATCAGACAATTATGTTTGAGGCAGGGTGTCATCAGATTTATCACATCAGGGTGAGTGGAGAAGATGATGGCTGCAAAAATGACTTAACAGTTCCACCGAAGAGAGAAACCAGTCGAACTCCAACAAATTGTGTGTGGAGGTGCATGAGTTTCAGCAACTACACAACATCAAAACTTTGTTGATCTGCGCATGTCAGAGTTGATGGCTGCAGTTGCAAGGTAAAGGTTCACAAACAAAGATAGATTTGGCACCCACTGTTGCAGGAGAAAGAGAAGTTACATTGTTCTAGAGCTTATAGTGGCTAGAACTTGTGCTAAGTCAAGGGGAAGAAAAGAATCATGGAGATAATAACATTGTTACCGTAGAGTTCCAATGTTTACCGAACTTGAGCAATAGCAAAGGGGTAGGGTATGAAGGATGGTACCACTCCGATATGTTGTTAAATGGATTAAGGTCGAGGAGGAGGAAAAATATATAAAAGACTGAATAATATGTTTCATTTATATTAGTGATACAAATATAAAGCATTAACCCCTATTTATACTCATTTAGACTGCTAATCCTAATCCTAATAAAATCAAATAAGGATGTGAATTAGGATTTATAATTAAATATGGCAATCACTCCTGTGAAATCATCATCTAATGTGGTTCTAATTACTCTAAAGATAATTTTTTATATTTTATTTGCACTGACTTGATGTTCTGGTGGTCCTTAATAACTTGTTTTAGGTATCAAGGCCATACAAACTAGCGGAATTTGAAATTATATTTGGAGAGGGAGTCAGTAAGCTGGTGAGTCTTACTGCATAAAAGTGTTTATACACATTAGTGTATATCATTATTTTGATTCTGCCTTTTGAATGCAGGGATGCATTCTAGATTGTGCAGAAATGATGGATATTGTCTCAAAGAAGGGCTCTTGGTATAGCTATGGAGATCATCGGTACTGTCTCAACTTCTTTCTGAAGCTTAGTACTTATTTGTCATCTCTTTCATTATTCTGTGTATATAGGGACATATTAAGTGAGAAACTTGACTATTGTGAGAGATGAGAACACATAATAATAACTGTTGGATTAAACACAATGGGTCAGACTAGTTTAATTAAAACAGAATCAGGTGACATTTTTTCTCTGCCCCACCTGAATTCCCCGAGACTGGGTGCTGCACCAGGTTTCAGTTGTGGTTATGGTTCACAACTCTCCAATTCATATTGCTTCATTATCCTTTGACATTACAGGTGTTTTACATACTGTCGTTGCCCTCTTCTACTCTGTCACACTCTTGGATAAAATGGTAGTGACTAAAAGGAAATGAAAATTTCTCATGATTAGCAGCCATGAGATGGATAGAAGGAATCGAAAAATGGAGTCTTGAATTACTTTGATAAATTTCCACCTAAGAAGCTCAAGATTGTAGTAATTTCATGCTTACCACTGTACTAGTTCACAAATAGTTTTAGGCTTCTATAACCGTTATTGTTTGACCAGAAAGCATCCAGCAGTGGTAGTAAAACTGGGAAAATGGTGAAGCCACCAAACATGGTCATAATCATTTTCATAGCCACCTAGCAAGCATTGTTATCAGTATCACATGAATCATATCGCAATTCGATATGATATGGAGCAGCAGCAATATGAGTCCATGAATTGTCCATATTGCATCTGAAGCGTACAAATTGCACCATGAATAGTAGTTCTGTGACTGAATCATGCGATTCTATCCAAGCACATAATATTGGAGAAAAGAAGCCCCATTTTGTTTTCTTTTCTATGCCTCCTCCAATAGCAGATATGTTGTCACCTTACCTCTGCTTCAGCACACTATTTTTTGCTTCTACTCTGTCCCCCACTATTGGTGCAGTTCAATGGTCCCTTGCTTCTGTTGACTCCAAAATGCTAACATATATATGTTTTGTTATGTTTCATGTTAAAATGCTCCTAAATTTGTGGTTTTTAGTTTTTGAGCATGAATATGTACTTTTATATGTCTTGTTAGCTATATATGCTATTTTTAATTATCGATCATGAGTCTTTCGATTCATGATATGGTTCGAATCACAATTCGGAAAATAGGCCTTCTGATTCACAATCTGAATCTGAGTTTGATAACCTTGCTAGCAACTGTTTATTGCACTTGTTTGTGTGGAGAAGAGGAATGGTATTCTAGGTTGAGAGGGAGAATTCTAACATGATTTTGTTTAAATTAAAACTAATCTTTCTTGTGGTTAAATTACTCTGTAGGTCCCTGAACTCTGAGAAGTTATGAATACATCCATATACTTTAAAAGTTTGTATAGGGCCTTGAAGTTAGAGAATTTGTTTTTGACCAAGCTCATTGGCGTCATTTGATCCATGTAGCAGACTTTACCTAATGCGATAAAGCTTGATGGTGGTTGTTGTAATTAGGTCCTTGAACCTTCAAATCAATTTTAATTGGATCTTTGGCCACATTTTCATTAGGGTTCTGTTAAATGTAGGGAACTAACTACAAATGGTTTTTGTAATTACAAATGGGAAATTGGAAAGAAAGTTAATTATTTTGTGAAACAAGAATAAATTTGGTTTGTCAACTGGGGCATTAAACAGCATTAAGTTTCTATTTAATGCACTTGGATATTTTCTGTAAATAGGTTTCTTATACAGTTATTCTGTTTTCTGTTCTATTTGGCCCATTTTAGGTAGTTAATTACTGCCATATATTCTTTCATTATCTTAGGATGCATATTTCCGTTTTTAGTTGAAACATTTATTGTATTTCCTTCTATTAAAGAGGAATCCCTGTATAGTTTTGAATTGAATCAATAGAATTCAACTTTGTTTTTCGTCATTGTCTTCTTTTTTGTCCGTTTACTGTCTTTCCCATTCTCTATCCAAATGGTTGGTGGGTTGTCTTGATACGTGAGTTTGCATGGCTTAACATTGACCATTAAATTTGTGTCGTATAACAGGTTGGGACAGGGAAGGGACAAAGCACTGCAGTACTTGAAGGAGAACACACATCTTGTAGAAGAAATTGAAAAGGTTGGATGATCTGAATCTGCTATATGCTCTTGATAATTTGGAAAATTTTAATTTAATCAAAAAGCAGTTGAAAATAATATGCCAAAATGGCATAGTACAACAAAAAAGGAAATAGGAGAGATTCCTATGACGATATCAGCATAATAAAATGTTGATTCCTTAATTTACAAAATATTTACAAATAATTTAGCTAAGTATTTACACTAATAAACTCAAATCAATAATGTTTATTGGCAAATTATAATAGATATTTACTAATTTTAACACCCTTTCAAGCTGGCTTAAAGATATCTGCTATGGATAGTGTTGACTGTTGATATTAATGTAAATAAATAGGTTAATACTGTAAAAGGGTAACTATGTAATTAGTGTGATTCTAGATAACTGTAACATGTATTTATTACAATGTTATCAATGGTAAATGGCGAGTCATGGCAGAAAGACAAAAAGCTGCCATAAAGTTATGGCAGATCAAAAAAATATATAAAAAGTATTATAGGTTGTTAAGATGAGAGAAAACAAAAAGGCATGAGCAGAATTCTGTGTGTTTCAACTACACCACAGGATGTATATTTATATTAATAACGGTGATAGTAATCATAGTTACAAAATTAAAGACAAATATACGGTTACCTAATTACTATAAATTACATAGATACTGTTACCTAATTAACACTCTCTCAAGCTGGAGCATATGAATCATATACACTAAGCTTATCACATATGTAATTAATACGAGGATCCATTACAGACTTCGTGAATACATCTGTCAGTTGATCATTTGAATTGACAAAACTGGTGACAATAACTCTGGATAAAATCTTTTCACAAAGGAAGTGACAATCAATCTCAATATGCTTCGTTTGTTCGTAAGAGACTGGATTCGAGGCAATGTGTAAGGCTGTGTGGTTATCACAAATGAGTGTCACTTGAATATCTTCTCCAAATCTCAATTCTTTAAGTAGTTGTTTCAGCCATATAAGTTCACATGTGACTGGAGCCATGCCTCGATATTTTGCCTCTGCACTAGAGAGAAACCACATTTTGCTTCTTGCTTTTCCAAGAAATTAGATTACCTCCAATCAAAACACAATAGCTAGAAATGGACCTCCTATCATGAGAGCTTGCATAACTTGCATAAGAATATTCAACAATCTTATCATGACCCTTATCCTCGTATAGGAGACCTTTTCCTAGGACACCTTTGATATACTTTAAGATGCGAATCAATGCATCCCAATATCTTTTACTGGAAGTGTTGAGGAACTAACTTACCACACTAACAGCAAAAGAGATGTCGGGTCGAATAACCGTGAGGTAATTTAGTTTATCAATTAATCTTCTATACTTTTTTGGGTCAACAAGAGGCTCTTCCTAACTTGATTAAAGTTTAGAATTAGGATCCTACCACAGATTTGGCCCCCATCAAACCTGTTTCTTCTAATATATCCAATGTATACTTCCTTTAGAAAAATACAATACCATGCTTAGATTATGTCACCTCTATTCCCAAGAAATATCAAAAATTTTCACTGTCTTTGGTCTGAAAATGGTGACATAAGTGGTTTTTCAACTATGTTATGCCATGATGGTCACTGCCAATGATAACAATATTATCCACATACACAACCAAGTAAATGCATCTTGTGGCTGAGTGGTGATAAAGGACTTAGTGATCAACTTCACTTTGAATCATCCCAAACTGTTGAACAACAATGCTGAATTTATCAAACCAAGCTCTTGGAGATTGTTTAAGACCATACAAGGATTTTCAAAGACGACAAACTAATTTTGAAGACTCCCCCTGAGCAACAAAACCAGGAGATTGCTCCATATAAACTTTCTCAACAAAGTCGTTATGAAGGAATGCATTCTTGATGTCAAGTTGATGAAGGTTCCAGTGGAAGATGGTGGCCATGGACAAGATCAAACGCACATAAGTCATTTTAGCGACTGGATAGAATGTGTCACCATAATCCAAGCCAAAGATCTAAGTATATCTTTTTGCCACAAGACGAGCTTTAAGGCAATCCACTTGACCATCAGGACCCACTTTGACAGTGTATATCCACTTGCAATGAACAACAAATCTACCTAAAGGAAGAGGAACAAGGTCCCAAGTTCCATTGCTGTGAAGTGCACACATTTCATCAAGCATTGCTTGATGCCATGGCGGTAATGGCAGCAAGGGCAAAAAATGTCAAATTTTGAGGGAAAAAAATGAAATGGGCCTCTAATCCAACCCGATTGAAAGTGATGCGAGATACTTGTTGTAGTGAAGTGTTTCTTCCATTGTAGAGGTTGAGCCCTAATTGTAGACAAGTTCTGGGTGTGAGTGTGGATTTTTGAATGGTGATGGAGAAAGGGAGAAAAAGTCTGATTTTGCCCCTGATAGTGTCGTTTAGGGCTTTTTTTTAGGGCTAAATGAACTTTTTGTCCCACTTAAAAATTTTTCCTTCTCTTCTTGAGTAAGTGGTACATACACATGTTCTCTCTCTTGCTCTGTTTTTCTTCTTCTCTAATGCCAACTTCTTCTTCACCATTTCCTCCAGAGAAGACATTTTTTCCACTGTTTTTCGGCAACTTCGAGTGGAGGGCCCTGTTTTTCAGCATCTATTTTCCATTTTGCTTCTCTGTGCTCTGTTTTTCTGCCTCATACAGTGTTCTATTTGTCACGCTCTTTGCGTCTATTTTGCTTCTTCTGGTGCTGTGTTTTTCTTCTTCAAACAATGCTCGGTTTCTCACTCAGTCTGCATCTTCAGTTTCCCTCTTTTTTTTAGTTTTTCCCTCCCCTATTCTTTTTTTTTTTAATTCTGTTTTTCCCTCTCCCATTCTGTTTTACTCCGCTAATTTTTTCGGTTTTCCTTATTATTCTATTTTCTTGATTCTACTTTTCTGTTTTAACTTCCAAGTTTCCTTCTCCATTATTATATTTTTACTCTTTGTTTTTCTGTTATTACTTCAGCTCCTTTTCTCTATTTTACTTCTATTTAATTCTTTTTTTGTTATTGTTCATCCTCTTCCTTCTCTTTCTATTCATGATGTCCTTTATGTCTCTGGGACTCCCTTTAATTTATTGTCCATTAGTCAACTTACCTAGTCTCTTGATTGTGTCATTTCTTTTACCAAAAATTTTGTTTCCTTGTAGGATCGGAGTACAGGGAGGACGATTGGCTCCAGATGTAAGTCCCATGGCCTCTATCAGCTCAACATGTCTTCTTTTGTTGGTTCAGCAACAACATTTCCACTTCTGATTTATGCTCGGTTAGGACATCCAGGTCTTGATAAGTTGAAACAGTTATATCCTAGTCTTTCTAAGTTAGATCTTTGTCTTGTGAATCATGTCAATTAGGAAAGCATATTCGTAATTCTTTTTTTAGTCACATTATGAGTTGGGCTTCATCCCCATTTGTTTTAGTTCATTCAAATGTTTGGGGTCCAAGTTGTATTTCCTCTATATTAGGGTATAGATATTTTGTTAATTTTGTTATTTTTAGAAACGATTTTTCTCACTATAATTAGTTATATTTAATGAAAGAACGTTCAGAGTTATTTTTAATTTTTCAATTCTTTATTCATGAAATCAAAAATCAATTTGGTATCCCTATTGCTTTACCATGTGATAATGCGCATGATTATCTGTCTACTCCATTTCAGACCTTTATGATGTCTCATGGTGTGTTGCATCAAACATCTTGGCCTCATACCCTCCTCCAATAGAATGGGGTTGTAGGACGCAAAAATAGTCATCTTGTTGAGACTACCCAAACTCTTCTCCTTAGGTACCCACGATCTCAAAAAAGGCATAAGTGTTGTTCTCCTACTCTTTGCAAGTATTTCATCTTGGCTGATATTACTTTTTTTTCATTCCATTCCATTCTTTGGACCTAGAGCATCTACATTTGAGTCTTCTCCTGCTACGACTCCACTCGTTTTAGTCCTTTTTTGTCCTCCAGAGGAGTCTCCATCCCCTCCAGACCCATCTCCTCCACCTTTGCAGGTCTATCAGCATCATATCCATTCTGTATTGCCACCACCTAGCGCTAGCAACACCATGGACTCACCTTCAAAGCCAACTCTTTCGCCTTATCCTCTGGTCCTGCCTCCTAAACTGACATTCCCATTACTCTTCGAAAAGGTGTACGTTTTACTTGTAATCCTTCTTCTCATTATATTACTTTGAATTATCATCTTCTTTCTCCTTATTATTCTTGTCTTTTTTCTTTGTCCTTTGTTTCTATTTCTAAGAGTGCAGATGATGCATTTGCTCATCCAAGATGGCAACAAGATATGTTAGATGAGATGTGTGCATTACAGAACACTGAAATTTGGGACCTCGTTCCTTTACCACTAAGGAAGTTAGTTATTGATTGTCGATGGGTGTATACAGTAAAGGTTGGTCCATTCGGCAAGGTTGACCGACTTAAGGCTCGTCTCGTTGCCAAAGGCTATACTCAAATCTTCGGGTTGGATTATGGTGACACTTTTTCTCCCATGGCCAAAATGCTTTTTGTGTGACTATTCCTATCTATTGTTGCCATCCGTTATTGACCTCTCTATCAGTTGGATATCAAGAATGCTTTTTTACATAGTGATATGTTCAAGGAGGTCTACACGAAGCAACCTCTTTGCTTTGTTGCTCATTGGGAGTCTTCTAGTCCTGGATGTTGACTGCGAAAATCTTTATGGCTTCAAGCAGTCACTCAAAGCATGGTTCAGCAGGTTTAGTACTATGATTTAACAATTTGGCATGATTCGGAGTAAGGCTAACCATTATGTTTTCTATTGTCACTCACCTACTGGTTGCATTTACCTGGTTATGTTGATAAAATTGTCATCACGGGTAGTGATCATCTTGGCATCGCATAGGTGAAGCAGCATCTCTTTAAACATTTTTAGACAAAGAATCTTGGCAAACAAATATTTCTTGGGAATAGAAGTAGCATGGTCCAAAAATGGAATTATCATATCCCAAAGGAAGTATATAATGGATATTCTAGAAGAAATAGGAATGTTAGTCGATACTTATGGATCCCAATGTCAAGCTCCTGCCAAATCAGGAGGAGCCTCTTTTAGATCGTAAAAGGTACAGGCGATTAGTAGGGAAGTTGAACTGTTACCTATCCACATATCTCATTCATAGTCAGTGTAGTAAGTCAATTCTTCAACTCTCTATGTAAGGAACATTGGGATGCAGTGACTCGCATTATTCGATGCATCAAAGGAGCTCTAAGAAAGGATCTTTTGTATGAAGATAAAGGACACACTCAAGTCGTGGGGTATTTGGATGCAGATTGGGCAAGATCTCCCATTGAAAGGTCTACTTTTGGGTTCTATATATTTGTTGGAGATAACCTTGTCTTTTGAAAAAGTAAGAAGTAGAATGTTGTAGCTAGGTCCAGTGTGGAGGCAGAGTATCGAGCTATGGCAAACAGTTGCTTCAGGAACTATAGTTTGGAAAAGTTATACATATGTCACTTATATGTGATAACCAAGTCGCCATGTATATTGTCTCAAATCCAGTATTTCATGAGAAGACAAAGCACATTGAAATTGATTGTTAGTTTGTCAAAAAGAAAGTCATGTCCGGAAAAATATCTATTAATTTTGTCAATTTCCATGATCAACTAAAAGATATATTTACTAAGTCACTAAGAGGTCTTTAAATTAACTGCATATATAACAAGCTTAGTGCATATGACCTATATGCTCCAGCTTGAGGAGGAGTGTTAGAATTTGTTAAAATCTTGTAAATATAGTAATTATATGTTCTGTAATTATGTACTTTTCCTTATAGAATTTAATAGCTCTGGTATGACCAAAACACACGGATTCATTCCAATATCTCTTGGCTTTTCTCCTCTCAACACTAATGATTAACCGACACATATCTTCACTTGAGAGGGCCTCCATATCAGATATCTATGTAACAAGCATGGTACATGTGATTTATATGCTTGTGCTTGAGGAGAAGGAGAAGTGCTAAATTTAATGTAAATAGTAATATGTAAATAGGGTAATTTATGTAATTATTGTAATTATAGATAACTGTATATCATGTATTTATTATGACTTATTATAAATAGATAGCTCCATCATATATTCCAAACACAGTAATCATAAGCTTTCTCTTTTCTCTTTCTCAGTAGACAGCTTACCAACTATATTATCAAAATGGCTTTTGAATAAGCATTTAGTAAGAACATATGCTATTTGAACCTGTTTCCAGATCTGGATGTTTGTTTGGGTTATTGGATATTGATGGTTGGTATTCTTGTTTTCAATGATAGTCGTTGATAGGTGACCCCTGTAGTGGAATTTGTGTGCTTGGGAGATATGTAGTTAATTACTTGGGGCTGGGATAGTTAAGAGAAATATAGGAAACAGCCTACAAAGAATTGAAGGGATTGAGAGGTAGGGATGGCAAAACGGGCCAGCCCACCCCAGCTTGTCAAAAGTTTGTCCAAAAATGGGTTAGTCTAAACTCGCTCCTTTTAAAAATGAGCTTAATTTTCTAATCTGGCCTGTTTAAGAGTGGGCCAAAAACCAAAAAATAAAAAATGTTGGTGGGCCATTAAATTAATGGGCCAGCCCAATGAAAATTAACAAAAAAATAAAAAAATTACGATAAATAATAAAAAATATTTTAAAATATTTTATATTAATAAAAATTAATATTTAATTAATAAATAATTATTTTTAAAATTTTAAAAATAAAAAATGGGCCCGATGGGGCCAGCCCAGCCTGCTAATTTGGTGGGTTAAGTGGGCTGACCCATTGGACCAAGCCCATTTTGACAACCCTATTGAGAGGGAAGTATTATCTTGATATTTGAGAGGAAATTCAGATTGTTGTGGCAGACTCTAAGCCTCTCAAAAGTCCTGGGAAATCATTTGTACTCTTTTCTATTAATAGAAACTTTTTTTCTATAATTGTGATCCAGTTTTGATCAATCATTAATTCATTATCGAAATATTTGGTGAGAGCAGATATCCATAAGGTCCCACTTTCTATTATTGCTAGTGCAAGGGTGATAATGTTTGAAATTACAGATTGGTCTCAGATATTACCAAATCTTGTCCTAAAACTTGACTTTGTTTTGTGGTTTATTATGGGTGTTTATATTTTTCTCCTCTTACTATATACTAAAGTATCTGTTATGTTTATGTTGCCTAGCATTGGTTTCATGGTGTATTTAATACTTGGTTTTAGATTAAACTAATCATGGAGACAGATTATCTAAATAATTAGTTTACTTAGTGTTAATTTTGTAAGCATTATTTGAATCAACAAACTTGCAATATGTGATGCCACATCCACATCTAGGAAGAGAATGTAGCTTAAGTTTATGTATTACACAGGTAAAAATTGATGCAGAAATTTTGAGATTCACACGTCCTCCTGTATTCTTCTGTTAGGAAATATTTAAAGCCTTTAGTCGGTGAGGCTGTTAGTAGGTTGCCACATGTTGCTAGCTGGGTTGATCAAAGTCTGTTAAGTGTTAATTGTGTCAGTTTTGCTATAAATGACAACTCTGATGTTAGATTGGGTTATCTTGTAATTCATTCATTAAATTCTTGTAATCTTCTCTTCATCTTAATAAAGCAATTTCGGAACCTTTCATTGTATGGTTTTCTATTCTTCATCAAGTTCTTCGAGTCTCACATTCCTAGAACTAGAAAATTTTATAACATCTTCAAGATAAGTGTGATGGTATTCTATCAATCATGACAAAAAAAAAGAATTATTTTGCAGGTAGTTCGGTCATCATTGATTGAGGGAACTAGCCAATCAAGCCTTGCATACATGAAGAGTAACCCAGTGCTCCATCAAGATGAAGATATATTTGAGGAAAGTCGATGATGAGAGAATTGTTTGGGTGATAAAGTTAGAGAAGTTGGGAAATTCTTTCTTTACGGAAAATGGAAGAAATGGATTTAGCTATGTTGATTGGACCAATTATTGCCTCATTCATCCTGTTCCATTGGTAAATGTCAAGGAAAGTGATGGCATGAGATATACAGAAAAGTGTAAAAACTGTAACTTAAACGTTTGCGAAGGAATATTAAATAAGTAGCAGATTTTGTTTTCATTTTTTCCTGGTGCGTGCATTTTGTTTTCTATTTGAGTCTTTGATATTGTCAGTGTTAGACATTTTAATCTTTTAAATTTTAAAATGTTTTCAATGGTCTTGACATTCATCTTTGTATATCAATCTAGTCCTGCCTATTTCTCATTAAGAAATAGTAACGAAATGTCACATTAAATGACATATGATTGATTGTGTGACAAAATAGCATTATATGATATATAATTTTCTTTCATTCTCAAATTTTTTTGAGCTTTCCACCTTGACTACCAGATTTATCTTTGTGACTTGCTCTCTCCCACATCCCTTGAAGTCAAGGTTGGTGTGATTACTTAGCAAAGAAGAAGGAAATAAAGGGATTGAATATTAAAACATAGGAAAACAATAAAGGGAGAAAAACGCAGAAGCAATAACAACCTTTTGTTAATGAGAAATACACTAAATATGGATGTCCTTCGTTTATGTTCTCTATGATTTGCTTGCAATCGCAACCTTGGTTGACACACACTCTCTCTTCCCAAACTCTTTCTTCTCTTTCTAGGTTTTCTTTTTTTCCTTTCTAGTCTCAAAATCCCTATTCTTTAAAATTGATTTCATTTCATCTAAAAATGTAGAGCCTTTCTAGATAATAGTATGAGTTTTGTCCATGGTGATTTTTGGTGATAATAATATTAACATAGAATGAAGAAGAAAGATAGATACATAAAACATTTTAAGAATTTGAAAGACCAAAATAAAGGAAAACCCTATATTACATCATATATAAATTCATTTTTGCTATTCAATCACTCATACATGTCATTTAAAATGACATCTCGGCATTTGGTTAACAATTTTAAGGACTAAATTAGGATGTTGCTTTTCTTGAATCACTAGCCAATACTCTCTCAAGTTATTTTTATAAGAGAACAATAATTAATTTATCAAGATTAATAAAAAGTATTAAATTTATTCAGTTATATGAATAACATGTGAGTGTCTTATTAATATAAATCTCACAATAAATAAAAATATAGAAAGAATTTAGCATTTAATGCATTTAAAAATGAGTTTTTATTCCTTATATTTTTAGACTTAAAAATAGTGATAGTTGTTTCAAATAAGTAGACTTAGAGGGTGTAGTTATTGAATTATAATTAGCATGATCTATAAGACTAGCATACTACCCCAATGTAAATGTTTATGTAGAGGGAAAATATGATTTATATATGTAACCACAATTTTCTTGGATTGGCTGACTATATGTACATCAATTTACTAAATGTAGTTTTTTTTATATTGTATGGGTATTATTAAATTATAATGAATTTTTAAATAATTAATTAAAAAAATATTATATGACTATATTAAAATTTAATAAATTTAAAAATAGTAAATATTATAATTATTAATAATAAATATTCTAGTACATAAAATAAAGATATAAATTTTATAATAAATTATAAAAATTTACAATTTCAAATAATATTCAAATAAAAAATAAGCACTTAAAGAGAATTAATTTGTAAAAAATTTTCTAATTGAGAAAGCTTTTAGAAACATTAACTTTTAAAATATCATATTTATAAATTATATTTGTATTAGTGGATCAAATTACTAAATGACTTGCTTTTTTTATTGTAAATTTATTTTTATTTTCTAACAAAATATATGTATGAGAAAATTAAAGGATAATTGAACTCATTTTTTGAGTTAACTTCTTTTTGGCAATTTAGTTTGTATTTGTAAATATTGTTCTTAGGCGGTAAACATATATGTTTATCCTTTTTGTTAAATTGTTAACTAATTAAGGTAAATTATTTTATGATGGCTATATCAAATATTTTATTAGGATTGAATTATTCTTCATTGCGCATAGTTAACACCAATCTTTGCTTTGTTTTCAATTATTGTACCTTTTATCCAATTCGTATTCTTAAAAATATTTCATCATCAATTCTCAACTTCAATCATGAGATTGAAAAAAAAAAATACATATAATTAAATGTATAGTTAATGTCAATTAAAGAGACTATTCCTAAATCATACTTGTCAAAATACCTTAATTAAAGATAAGAAGAAATGGAGTATTTGATATTTACTAACGTTATTAATTATAAAAATTTTAGTAAATCAATATGTCATTGTGTGTTTATCTATTCTTTAAATAAAATTACATGTCATTAGATATCTTATAAGAATATAAATGAGTTTACTTATTTGTGAATTTTTTTTACTTATTAAATGCTAATTCAATTTTTGCTAAGTTAAATAAAGAATATTGGATTTAAAATTTTATTCAATTATTTGTATAAGTTAAACCTAACTTTGTAGGTTTAATATTGATAGCTCCTGAATATCTTGCATATATGTGTATAATTCAAACTTATTTCTTTCACTTTCATGTAAAAGGCTTTTTGTATTAAATACATCTCATATATATAATATTTGATTCCTATAAAAATACTGAAATTAAATTTGCTTTTAATTTCTATAAATTTATCAAAATTCACCTTTAGTTCTATAAAGTTATCCAAATTCACTTTTAATCTCTATAAAATTATCAAAATTCGCTTTTTTTTTTCTGATATTTTCAACTTTGTCTTCATCTTCTAAAGCATAAATGTAGTCAATATATTTTTGCATCTATGTAAGATGCTACTTGTTTTTATGGTTAATCATCTATTTCTCTCTTCAACAATGATTGTTGAAGAAATTTCAAATGATGACGAAAAGAATGAGTATAAAGTTGAAAAAGTTTCAACTATTCTTAAAAGTGTGGACTAAGATGTTGGAACTTGGAAGTCAAAGCGATTAAATAATTTTTTATAAAGAGTAAAAGTGAATTCTTATAATTTTATAGTAACTAAAAATAAATTTAACTTTTTAAATAGTACGATGATATTAAAAATTAACGAAAACTGGGTAATGATAAGATTTATTTTGACTATTATATTTCTATAATTTTAAAGGGACAAAATCATATTTAAGTTAATTTTTAATTAAATTAAAGTATTAAATGATATTTGTTTAAATAAGTATAACAAGTTCAAATATCCTCTTTTCGTAAGTTAAACTTTCACTTTTAAATATTTGTTTTGATTCCAGATAAAAAAAATCGTTTGGATTCAATCTGTTTATGCCCTTAATAAGACATATATTTCGTTATAATTTCTTTTGGGGTTTAAATTTTAACCAAACTTATGTTCACACTGTAATGAAATAATTCCAAAAGCAGACTTCCTATGATTTCCAACATATTATCTAAATTTATTTATTTGTGTCAATGATTTCATTCATTGTAGGTATTCTTTTATAAATGTTTAATTAGATGTAAATGAATGAATTAATAATAATAATAATAATAAGAGTGTCACAAATTAAATTTTATATATATTTGAATATTAATAAATCTAATTATTTATTTATTTTAAATTTTAATATATATATATTTTTATAATTTATTTCTTAAATAAGTGAATTCAATGTAAAAGTTAGATAAAATGTTATTTTTAGTTGAGTTTTGCTAATATCAATTATATGAGTTTAAACATCTATAAATAAAAAAAAATTATAAAAAAAAATACAATTATTATATTGAAATTATAAAAATATAATAAATATTTCTATTTCTGATAAAATTTTACTATTATTAGCCACTTATCCTCAACTTTAAAAATTGAAGTTAATAAAACTTTTTTTAGTTTGTTATTAGGTTCATCTAACCCGTTTCTAATATATTCACAACAAGACGAGATAAAATAAGATAGATAAACTTATTTTGTCATATCTAATGAAAACTATAAATGTTAATCTCAAAGTAAAAATTTTAATAAAAAAATAAATATATAATTTTGTATTATATTTATTATTTTTTTCTTTTTTACACCCAATCTAAACTAGTAAAACTAAATTTTTAAATTTCTTTCTTATCTCTTTCCACTCTATTTAATTATATCCAAACAATACTAATATTTTTCTTTTATTTTCACCCTATTTCTATTTTTTATTTCAGTTTCTCTTATTTCTTTACTTTCTAATTCCTACTCGTCCAAATAAAATGCTTATTTATTTTAATTTTGATTTTTAATTTTTAAAAATTATATTTTAAAATAATTTATAAAAGTATTTTTAAAAAGAAAATAAAAATAAAACTTATGTTAAAAAAAAGTTTTTAAAAATGAAAAAACAAACCTTTATATTATAATCTTTAATGTTGTTGATGTTGAACATCGACGAGTCTGCGGCATACAAGTCAACGCTGTTTATGTGACCGACGATGAAGTAGAATAGGGAATAGCATGAAACGCTTGTTTTTGAGGTATGACCCATCAAACACTTGATATATAAGATTAACGCACTTTAAAATATTACTATTTGGATTATACTAACCCATTCATCAAAGGACAACTTGATGGCGACTTCATGAAAACAACTTCAAATTTTTATTTATGAGTCTTCTTATTACCTTTTATGAAATTAAACATAAAGCCACCATTAACTTTTTAAAGGATTTCATTTAATTTTGATCATTGTACACTTATATTTTTTTATAGAAAATAAAATTTAAAAAATGTTAATTAAAATTCCTATTTCCCATTGATTTATTGTTAAAATATTATGTTAAATTGGTTACATGACTAATAAGTTATATATACAATATTATATTTTATTGAATAATGTTGTATTAGTAAATTTTTCAAAAAATTTATGAGAGAAAAAATAAATATTTTTTTTATAAATTAGAAACAATTTATGCTTTTTTATATTTAAAAATTTTCTTATTTAAATTTTTAAAATTTGAGGAGATAAATTGTTGCTAACTTATACTAAAAAAATTATTTTTTTACATTAAATTTTATCTTTCACAATGATTTTTCTAAAAATTTACTCAAATTAAACCTTACTTTATTTTCAAAGAAGATAAATAATTAAAGATACAATATCTAATATCATATCACTTAAAATAATTTTATTTTATATAATATTAAATAGAAGTATATCCTATAAAACAAAATGAAACGTTGAATTTTTATTTTTTATTTTTTGGAAAATATTTCTAACCTAGTCATCTTGCATAAAATTTGTCTAACCGCTTAAAGTATATTGCAAAGTTAACATTGAATTCGTTTCTATTATATATTTATTAATGTTTTAATAATTTTTAAGTGTACACAATGAAAAATTAATAAATAATATTTTTATTAAAAACTATAAAATATTATAAGATTAAATTAGAGTATATTAATAATTTAAACATTTAATTTTTAATAAAAATTTATTACGTTACGTTGTGTGCTGCCAGAAGCACGTTAAAAAAATCTAACATTTTAAAATGAAGTCGTATATTATTTATATTCAGTTTAGTCAATCCAGAAAGAGAAGACCATTCACATTACGTACGCGTCTCTTTACGCGCCACGTAGAAAGCAATCACTTTCTACACAAAGTGCTATTATATGTATCTGCCGCCTCTCCAATCCCAAATCTCAACTTTCACTGTTTCCCTTCCTTATCTAAGTGGTTCCTCTTCTTTTGTTTCCACTTTCTAAGGTTTGTGTCTGTCATATATTGCTCTTCCTCTTTTAGGGTATTTGTCTTAAGCCTCTCTTATTTTCTTATTTTTATTCTTTGAACTGCGAAAAACACCACTAACTGAACCAAAATGTAGAGGTCAACGCTCACAGTTCATGTTTGATAAGAGGCAAGGAGAAGAATGAGCTTTTAGATTAGAAAATAAATTTTATAAACTCTTCAAATTTCATATTTTTAAGTCCTTTTCTCCTTCAACTCTCAAATTCTTATCTTTATTTTCTCTCCAAATTTCTAAAATTAGACTTTGTTTGAGAGTAAATTTTCAAGAAAAAAGGTAAAGATTTATTTGATAATAATTTCCTTTAGGAGTGTAAAGACAAGAATGAGATATTTTATAAATCTGTTAAAAAAAATTTAAATTCATATTTTTAAGTCTAAATTGGAGGATTTTTAATTAACCCTCCTTTTTATCTTTTTTTTTTTTCTGTTTTCTTATTCATCAAACTCTTTCTTTTTATCTCTCCGCAGATTGCTAAACAAAAGGCTAAATAACTTGAACTAAACCATTAAAAGCTCTGTGTTAGATAAATTTCATTAGTTTGTTTTTGGTCATGTGGCTGTGGGAACTACCAAATATACTCATTTCTAGATCTTCATAAAATTTTCAAACTATTTTCATTATACAGAAAATATTGTCTATACGGTTGAATTTACATCACATAAACAGCAATATGATCCTGATACCTGTGTCTCATTGTAGTTTAGTTTGACAGAACCCTCTGTTGATATCATTGGCATATCGGTGAAAAACAAAGTAGCTATAATATTAGTCATTACTTTTTATATGTCTCATTTGATATGGAAATTAAAATACTGGCAATGTAGTTTGTCTGCTCTTGTAATATAAGAATTGCAGTTTTTGCGTTATTATTATGTTCGTTATATTGACCTTCTGCTATATTATTCTTAAAGGCATTAACATTGAGACTCTTGTATGGTTCATACAGGTGAACTTGGAAGAACCAGTTTCATTTGAAAATTTCTAACTCTGTTTGACTTGAAACTCCGTGTTCCAATACTGCACTAAGTGATGACTTGTTTTACTTTCTTATTTGGTGGTAAGAAAGTGTCTTCTTCAAAACAAGATCCAGATATCGATGAAGGTAACTTAACAACAATTGATTAACTTTTAAGTATATGGTTGCATTATTGAATTAAGATGCCTATGAAAAGAAACATGAAAAAAAAGAATGCTCACAGAGCTTGATTTTAATCGAATATGCTTGTGAACAGAACTCTCAGGCATTCGAAATGTAAGAATCTATACCTACAAAGAACTAAAAGTTGGCTCTGACAATTTCAGTCCAGCCAATAAAATTGGAGAGGGAGGTTTTGGTTCGGTTTATAAGGTAACTAAATAACTTTCAAGTATTTCTTACATATCATATCAATTCGCATGATCATTATCTTTTCCTTCCTTTCCTTGTTGATGAAATGTTAACAGTATTATTGTGGATGGTTAGGGACTGTTAAAAGATGGAAAAGTAGTTGCTATAAAAGTTCTTTCAGCTGAATCAAGACAAGGGGTGAAGGAATTCATGACAGAGATTAATGTGATATCTGAAATAGAGCATGAAAATTTGGTTAAGCTATATGGTTGTTGTGTGGAAGGAAATCACCGAATTTTAGTCTACAATTACCTTGAGAACAATAGCCTTGCACAAACCCTTCTAGGTAAACACATTATAATTTTCTTATCATGTTTTCTGGTAAATACGTTTAAAATATCATATAGTTGTTATATTAATTTGTCTTTGACACTCAGCCTTACCCTAATTATTTGTGAATGAATTGTTTTCTCTTCACTTGCAGGTTCAGGTCACTGTAATATCAACTTTGATTGGAAAACACGATCTAGGATATGCATTGGGGTTGCATGTGGGCTGGCCTTTCTTCATGAGGAAGTGAGGCCACATATTGTTCACAGGGATATAAAAGCTAGCAATATTCTTCTTGACGAAAGCCTTACACCCAAGATTTCTGATTTTGGCCTTGCAAAGCTTATTCCATCATACATGACTCATGTCAGCACACGTGTAGCAGGAACAATGTAAGTGTTTTAATTTACAATCAGTACAGAAATTGGAAAGGTTACATTTTTGCTTTTCCTGTTGAAAGATTTGGGTAGTCTTCCCAAAAGTAAGACTTGATCCCTTCAATATACGAGTTTTATACTGAAAATTTTGATCTCTTATATGGAATTTAATGCTACTGTAATATGTTGAATGGTCAGAATTATATGCAATAATACAGCGAATTAGTACCTAATTGACTTATTGATTTTATTCCATATTTTATATCAATTATTCAATTCAGTTTGCTATGAAAAAATGGCTTTGAAGTTTATATTCATATTACTTTAGATCATCTTTTATTACTTCGTTTTAATGCTGACATAAGAGACTCCTTTGGTTGAATCAGTGTTATGGAAGGAGTTTTTACTCCATTAAATGTATTACACATTTACACCCAAATTCTTGCTGGTTTAAATTCTTATGTCAACTAAAACTGTGAGATCATTGACTATTTTTGATAGGGATAAGGGACGTAGTATTCAAATATATGGAAATTGGTTAATAACTTAATAGAAGTTCTTGAGCAGTTCTCTTTCTCATGGAAGATGACTCTTCTCAGGCCTTAGAAAATTTCAAAAAGCAAGATGTTACCCTCACATGCTATGCTCCCTTTTTAACAACCCACATGACCATACATTATGTGTGCAACTAACAACCTAGTTAATGATGAGAGGACATCTTATCTTATCCTTTCCAATTACCTCTCTGAATTGTACTTTCTACAATAGATATAAATTCCCGGGTCTAGCAAATATGTACTAAATTGGATTACCTCCATCCTATGTCTCGCCCTGGACAGTAGTACTAACAGTGATGACTAACTGCACTTATGTTTTAATGGAAGCATGAATATTTTCTTCAGGATGATATTGTATATTATGTCCAATCTATTCATTTATCACTTTTCCACTTACATGAGAAAGAGGAAAGCTTCTCTTTTGCAGTTTATGTTATTATCTCTGTTTTCTCACCAACTATTTATAGGACAAGGTGCTTTTGGTATTTGTTCTCTAATCAAGATTGGAGTTTCACTTTGTTACACATTAGCGTCGCAAAACTCCTATCTTAATTGGAGAACAACACCAAAAGCACCTGTAATACTGCACTTAAGTTTTATCCTTGTCTATATTAGGAATTTATTGCTTCATGTTTAATTTCAGAGGTTATTTGGCACCAGAGTATGCAATAAGGGGTCAGCTGACACGTAAAGCAGATATTTACAGCTTTGGTGTCCTTCTTATGGAGATAGTTAGCGGAAGATGCCATACAAATGCACGATTACCGATAGGAGAGCAATATATTTTAGAAACGGTATGTTCTCAGTTGTATTGATGTACCTCTTGCTGTTTAAAAACACATCTTAAAAGAGGAAAGAAAAAAGTAGTTTCTTGTGCTTGTCTTCCTATTAATAAGCAATTCAGGCATCATACATTTAAGTTACTTTCTCTTCCAAGACTTTGATAACATAACCTTCTATCCATTGGTTCTTGTTGCATGGAAAGAAATTTGGAATAACTAAAGTCTAGTGTTTGTAATGTTCTCACACCCTGTGATAATTTCCTTTTTCTCCTGCTGTAAAAGTTTTAATCATACAACTGTATATTGCATCTTTAACAAACAAGTTTGGTGAATTACTTTTAAAACATTCTCCTTGGTTAACTGCATGTATATATATGTTGTTTTGACTATGTACAGAAGATGGTGCTTTAAACAAGAAAATGATTGCAAGCCTTGGATCATTGCATAACAATACTCATTCTACAGCATTCTGAGAATTTTGGACCATCTCTTATTTTAGCTTCTGTCCTTTCAGGCGTGGGAACTTTATCAGCGAAGGGAATTGGTGGGGCTTGTAGACACATCACTAAACGGGGATTTTGATGCAGAGGAGGCTTGTAAATTTTTGAAGATTGGACTTCTTTGTGCTCAGGATACACCGAAGCTCCGGCCAACCATGTCTGCTGTGGTCAAGATGCTCACTGGAGAAATGGACATTGATGAAATTAAGATAACAAAACCAGGCCTGATTTCAGATTTGATGGACCTTAAAATCAGAGAACAAAAAGGTAATATTGGTATGAAGGCTTCATCTTCATACAATACTTCCTCTGCCTCAGACAGCCAGGGGACTACCACGTCATTAGCTGCTTCAAGCGTTGAAACTACAACCTTCACAATAAAGCACAATGAAACCGTGTAAACATCAGTCATCAATGATTTTCCTTTGGATTTAAAATTATTTTATTTCATTTTTCTGAGGCCTCTTTGCTCATGTAAATTTGCAAAGCTCCATAGATTTGTGTTAATTTTTTTACTTTTCTGCGTGTCCCTTGATTGGGAAGTTTTGAAGAATGTATATTATCTTGTAAATAGGGACCGTGGTTATGATTAAATGATGAATTTGAAGATCTTTCTATTTTCCTTAATACTTGAGTCTACGGTTACACATCTATAGTGTAAAATTTAACACATAATCCCTCAACTAATAAGACATGTAAGCATAGGCTTTCTAAATTGTAAACTGTTGGCGAGTACTTACAGAAATTGAATTACAGATGAAGTAATTGAACATAGCTTTGCAAGAAATATGAGAGTTAATTCATTTGCTATAGACTCAAGGTTTTTATCTACAAGGCTTACATGAGTTAATTCATCCGGTGTTGTTATTCTCATGTATTATCCCCCTCAAGCTGGAGAATCTATAGGATGCATCGTGAGCATGGATTGAATGACGTGGAAACTGGAAGATTGAAGGGATTTTGTTAGGATATCCGCAAGTTGGAACTTGATGGAGATTGAAAGAAGATGAATTGAGACCAGTTCTGATTTTGTCCCAAACAGTGTGACAATCCAATTCAATGTGTTTTGTCCTTTCATGGAAGGAAGGATTCTGTGTATTGCAAAGTTGTTTTCACAGTATAGAAGAATTGGTTTGGAGCAGAGCAGTTGATGTTAAGGTCATGTAATAAGTACTTTATCCATTGAATTTCACAAACAGAGGCTGCTAATGCTCTGCATTCTTCTTTGGAAGAGGATTTAGCAATTGTGGTCTTTATTTTAGCTTTCAAAGATATGAGAGAATCACCAATGTATATGCAGTATTCAGTTGTTGACTTTCTGATATCAGCACAACTAGCCTAATCACTATTGCTAAATGCCTTCAGTTGATGGTCTGATTTTGTTGGAAAGAACAGTCCTATAGAGCCGGGGAGTTTTTGATATAACTTGATATGCGAATAGCAGTTTGTAGGTGAAGATCAGTATGTGTTGAGAGGAATTGACTTAGCTATTGTATAGCATAGGTTATGTTGGGTCTAGTTGTGGTAATTTACAACAGTTTAACTGTTAGTCTGCAATACGAAGCAATCTCTGAGAGGTGTGCCATTGTCTCCTGTGAGTTTGAGTGAGTTGTTCATCAGAGTTTTAGCTGGTTTACATGCTAACAAGGATCACATCATCAACATAAACAAGAAAAGCTGTAAAATTGAAGTTGGTGGATTTTGTATAAAGGGTGTAATCGTCACTTTTTTTGTTGATACTGTATAGTTGTATATAAGGTTGGAACCATTGCTTCCAAGCTTGTTTGAGATCATATATGAATTTTTGAGAAGATAGACTTGATTTCGTTTAGTTGTTAAGATGCCTTGTGTAGGGATGTAAATGGGCGGGCCAATCTGACTTGAGTATTTAAAGCTTAAATTTGACTTGTGAAAAAAATAATAATTAAACTTAACTCATTATTTAAAGGAGATGGATTTAAAGCTTGAGTTTAGCCTTATTAATAATTTTAAAGTTTGCTTTTGAGTCTTTTGTTTATAATTTTTTATTAATATAGTATTTAATAAATATTTTATGTTATAAAATAAAGTAAAAAATAATAAAATATAATTTTATCATACTAAATGACTTCAGGTATATAAAAATAGTTTATTTCTTTTAAAAAATTATGGTTATATATTTAAAAATAAATCTCAAAAATTAAAATTAGATAAATAATATACATATAATAATAATAATAAATACTTAAATTTTTAATAAATATAATAAATAAAATTATAATTATTTGAGTACATATATATATATATATATATATATATATATATATGCTATCCACGAGCTATTATTAAGTTTATAAAACTTGAACTTGACTCATTTAAATAATTGAGCCAAACTTTAAACTTAAGTTTGTTTATTTAATAAAATAAACAAGCTTAGTGATGGCTTAATGAGTTGAGCTCAAAATACTATCTTTGGTCCTTTTTATAATAAACAAAAGACTAAATCTCTAGAATCAAGGAAAGCAATTAAGTCATTTATGTTTTCCATAAATATAAACTTTATTTCAAAAATATTCATGATATTAAATATTGTATTTAGTAATTTATACAATTAATAATACTAATAAAAGAATAGTATAAAAGATATTTAACAATTAATGCTTCTTGAATCTATCATTTGTTTCTTATAATAAGGATAAAGGAAATACTTTATTTTGTTTCTTATAAAAAGGACCGGAGGAAGTAGTTCACAAATAACTCATCTCATTTATATCCTTGGCCTTGAGGTACTTTCATATATACTTTTTCATCTAAATTGTTATGCAAGAATGCATTATTTATGTCTAGTTGATGGAGATACCAATTCTAAGCAACTACAAGGACAATGAATAATATGAGAGTTGTCATTTTGGCTATCGGTGATGAAAAGGTCTCCATATAGTTTATTTCTTCTATTTGTCTATATCTTTTTGTAATTAGCACAGTTTTGAATCTGTCACTTGTTTCGTTTGACTTGTGTTTAATTTATAAACTCATTTGCAGTTAATAGGTTTCTTGCCACAAGTTTTGAAGTTTTAGTCCTCTCTAATGCTTCAAGTTCTGCCTACATAGCTAATCTCCAACAACGATGCTTAACAACTTGAGAAAAAGTTTTGGTTTCAATGATAGGAGTAATATTCAAGGTAAAAATGATCCATATGTATGAGATAATTTATTATATGAAATAAAAGATGACAAGATGATGATAATCACGATCTGTGTTGTCGAATTAAACGATCTTGAATTGGATTACACATTACAAAAACATAATTATTAGGGTAAGAACAAGAATTGAAATAAGAAGAAAATAATAAAAGTAAAAAAAAAATAAAGATTGAAGATGACGTCACAACCTGCAAGATTAATAAATTAAAGGAACGATAATTACAAGAGTCTTGACCTTATGATAAAATCAAGAAAATTGGCTCACTCTAAAACTTAGAGTCATTCAATCTCAAATTGCATTCAAAATTAATAAAAAATACATTTACAAGAGCTTATATATGTCTAGCGTTCATAAACTAACATTAACACAAACGCTAATAGACTTCTTGTACTAACAAATCTAAATCTAAATAAATAAAATAAAACAACAAGCTTTTAATCTAAATAAAAGTTCAGATTAAGACATGGCTAACATTAAAATAACTAAACTATATATAGTAATTAAATTCTAATAAAATTCATTAGAGTCTAAGTTTTTTAAACATATATAATTGACCATCTTAAACTCTTCTAACTTCAAATTGAGCCTATTTTCAAATAGAACAACAATCATTTTCTCTAGGTTTCTTTATTTTTACCCTTGTCATTGTTTCTTAAAGTCCTTCAAATATTTTCAAGCTTTTATCTTCAATAAGTCTTCTTTGAAAAGGACATACTATTACTAACAAATTTATCTATTATTTGTTTAATAGTATGAAAAGGATATACATTCTCATAACAACATACATCTAAGAACTTGAATTTAAGGAAGAAATATTAAAAAAGTTAATGTAATGATTATCATTCAAAATGTGACCTTTTGTCATTTCATGACAATAGGTCACATCAGTTATCTTTGTTACTATTTTTATTTTATTTTTAGTCTCAAGACAAGTTTTTCTACAATATAATATTATTAAATATATTTAGAGTCTTGGCTCACAAATGAATTTTTTTTTTATTTGATAGTATAATCATGCATCATGCTAATTTACAAAATTAACAAAATAAATTCTTAAAATTTAGTTTTCTCTTAAAACTAATTTTGTAAAATCATTTTTTATTTCTAAAAATTTCTCACTAATTAAATAAATTAAACAAACATTGGTAAATTCTAGTTTGTCAAATGTAGAACTTTACTTAACAAATATGAGGACCGTTAGAGACAGTCTTAAATGAGGTTAAAATTATTTTAATCAATTTAAAATATCTTTATAATTAATCACTGAGGCAATTATTCTCTCCATTCGATTAATGTATCTACTTTATTGCAACATAGTTTACACTAATTGAGTCTGACAAATAAGTCTACATAAAAAAAAAAGTGTTACACTTGAGCATGATTGAGTGGAATGTGTCACATGATTGAGTGGAAGAACACATTTACACATCATGAATGTTTTGTTTTATTGTCAAATATTCAATAGTCCCTTGTTTGAACAAAAATTTTATTTATTTTATTTGAGATGGGCTAACCCCTAACTTTATTTTCTATTACTAATTATACTATACTAACAACTAAAGAGTTCTTTACTTTATTTTATCGCAACAAAACATAAATTTTACTTTCTGCAACTAACCTTTATTTTCTACAATTTCTAACTTCTAACGTTTATTTAAAGAAAAACTAACATTTTATATTATATTATTATACTAACTATATTATACTACACTAACTATATTTTCTGTAGGTAACCTTGTTTTTCTGTGCAAATTGTTTTATGCAAGATTTTACTGTTATTTTGGACTTGAACGAATTTTTCTTACTCATTGGATTAGGGAAGAGTAATCTCTTATTTATAGAAACATATTTTCAACAAAGTTATCTAATTTTTTGAAAATGAGTTTTGAAAAAGTCATTTGAAAAGTCAAAATAAGTTAATTTTGTCAAATTTGATTAAATTCTTGACCAAGACATTGGATGAGTCAAAATATAATCATTTTTTAAGTTCATATGAGCCATGGATGTGTTTACTAAGAATAAATATAGTTTGAAAGTCAAGTTTCAAAAAATTTAAAAAGATTCTTAAAAAATTATTTTTTGACGAAGATTTTTGTCCAAAAGTTTTAAAAGACTTCAAAATATTCCCAGGATTTTGGAACATGTAAAAAGGGACTTGATTGTAATTTTATAAAAGTTAAGGGGCTAAACTATAATTTTAAAATTCAACAGACTAGTTTACAAAGGGTTGAGAAAAATTTTTATATTCTGATTTATTTATTATATTACTTATATAAAATGATCTCATGGATCTTTGAGAAAGAAAGTGTTAAAAGTCAGTTTTATCTTTAACTACAAATTTTACTAGTATTTTAACATATAAAGATATTGTACGAAAGTAAGCAATTTTTTTGGCTGATTTTCGACAATGTAACCAATTGTTTTACTTAAAAATCAAT